TTCTGGAGTAAAGAGGAATGTAAAGTACATTTCATCTAGATTTACAGACCAGGAAAATGAAGATCAGACAAGTGAATAACTGGCCTTAGGCAAGAGCTACCAGTATCAAAGAACCAGAACCCAGGTTGGTCAACTGCAGAACAGTCTCTTTGCACCACACCACCTCGCAGAGTATATTTTTAAACCTACTTCTCAGGTCTCCTCTAATTCCCTGTTCACCTGTGTTATGCAGCTCTTAAAAACTCGTCTTAAAAGTAAATGCACGTGAGAGGTGGTTGAAAGTCACTTTTGCGTATCGATACACTCATCTTTGTCCCATGTCTAATTTCAGGGGGTCAAGACACCCTGCTCTTGGGAGGAGCAGCCTGACAGCACGGATTTAAGGTAAAAAAGACAAACGCTGCAGAGAATGATCAATTAAATTAAAGCCAAATATTCAAAGTCCTAATACTTCAAACATATATTTAATAGAACAGCTATCATATAGAGGCATTTTCATAGATCACTGGTAACATTTATATTTTATGAATGTGTTCCTTAAACAGGCAAAGTCCAGTTGGCCTGCTGAGACTTATAAATATTTTTATAATATATTTTATAAGAAAAGAACATTGTCGTTTAACTTACTTATGATCTGAATAATAATTTATATAATGTTTTCCAGGTTTCATCAAAGGCCCTTAAATCCAGACAGTTGCTTCTTGTAGCTTTTATCAGCTTCAAAACATTTTTAAAAGGGGTTTAAAGTAGCATAAATTTTTATTTATTTATTTATTTTTGAATATGATGAAAATGTTTACTTAAGCCTGTATCTTAGGGCTGGCAGTGAAATGTCAACTTTATAACTGTTTGCATTCAATAGTTTTGGGGGTAACACAAACCTAAGCATGGCCAATGTTAACTTATTTCACTTTTGTTTTAACAACAAATTAATTTGTAGAATACACAGTGCTCTTGAACAAGTGTTAAAAACTTGTTGGAATTATTTTGTTTAAAATTTCAAGTTAATATGAGGGTACAGATGTTTAGGTTACGTTATTTCCAATGCTAAGGTAGAGGTCAAGCTGCAGCTGAGCCCTTCACCTGGGGTCGTGCTGACACCCTCACACTGTGCACCTGAGGTGTGATCCCGCCAATCACTCTCCTCCCACCCCTCCGTATTTCTCCTCTCCCCTCTCCCTTGGTTGAACCATATTTGTGTTTTATCTTTCATGTGGGCCTGCATTTGTTTATATACTGATTTCATATTAGTATTTAGTACACTGGATTTTTTTCCCCCATTCTTGGGATACTTTACTAAGAAGAATGCGTTTCCTCCATCCAGGTAAACACAAGAGATGTAAAGTCTCCATCTTTTCTTACGGCTGAGTAGTACTCCATGGTGTACTTAGGCTGCAGTTTGTTAATCCATTCGTGGATTGATGGACGCTTGGGTTACCTCCATGACTTGGCACTTGTGAACTGAACTGCAATAAACATTCTGATGCAAATGTCTTTGTAGTAAAATAATTTTTGTTCTTCTGAGTAGATACTCAGTAATGGAATTGTGGGATCAAATGGAAGGTCAACTTTTAGCTCTTTGAGAATTCTCCATACTTCTTCCCATAGATGTTGTATTAATTTGTAATCCCATCAGCAGTGCAGAAGTGTTCCCTTCTCTCCACACCCTTGCCAGCATCTGCAGATTTGGGACTTTGTGATGTGGGCTAATCTCAGTGGGGGCAGGTGATATTTCAGGGTGGCTTTGATTTGCATTTCTCTGATGATTAGGAATCATGGGCATTTTTTCACGTGTGTGTTGGCCATTCCTCCATCTTCTTCAGAGTCATGTCTCTTGCCCACTTAAAAATGGGGTTGTTTGCTCTTTTCTTGATTAATCTGAGTTCTCTGTAGATTCTAGTTATCAACCCTTTGTCAGATTCATAACATACAAAACTCTTCTCCCATCCCGTGGGCTGCGTGCTTTAGCTGTGGCGCCCTGAGGCGTGCGGGAGATTTCCAGCTTCATCATTTACTTATTTTAGGTGTTGCTGCAATTGCCACGGGGTCTATTAACAAATTATTACTGAGATGGGCTTTTCGGTTTGCCCCAAATCAGGAATTATCAGTAGAATGAAGCAGCCTTTCCACAGGTAACATGACATCTCTTAAGTTAAGCTTGTGAGAGTTAAACCAATAAACTGTGGCAATGAGGAAAGTGATGATGAAATACCACCAGGGAATGTTCATCTCAGCATATGCTGGACTCTGCACTCTGAGTGAAAGGATCATCCCCTGAAGCAGCTCAGGGAACCAGAGAC